CAAGGAAACTTACCACGGCACGCTCGGTCAGGGAACACTTCCAAACTTAGCCCGGAAGGAAAAATGCTCATCCAAACACGGGCGAAATTTTGACCCGAGAAGAGAGTGTCCGCGACTCAAGGTTGCATAAAGTAGCAAATCTAGCATATTGTACCAAATGTAGCATATTTTGCTACAAGGAGCAAAGAATTCGCATAATTATCACTGATATCAGTTCATATTTCGAGCATAATTATTTCGAGCATATTTTTCTGCTTTTGTGTGATTTCGAAGCATATTTTGAAGAAAGTGGCCAATATGCGAAAAGCATAATATGCGAAATTTTTGAGCATATTTGGGCCCTCCCTATGACAGCCGCGCGATGCTAACAACTGCCTCCAAAGGAAGCTTTCGGTTCACTGGTGGACCTCTTGACTACTGTGGTAGCGTGGCTAGCGGCTGTCTGCTCCGCGAACGCGAACGGCCAGTTGTAAAAATAGTCGACAGTCGACTAGTCGCCGATTCGTGAAGTAAAATCCCAAATCGGCCGTGTCCAGCACCTATAAAAAACCCAAACTCTGGATAGATTTGGAAATGATCCCACTTATGGGCACCACTGCATCCAGTTTTTTTATTTTTTTATATTTTTTATTACAATGATCACAGCTGCACAGGCAATACCTCCCTGTTTCTGAAATCTCCTATCTTCTCTGCGTACACTCTCTGGTCTTCCCTGCCAACTAGCCTTAAAGCATGCACAGACATTAAGGAGTTCAAGCTTCAGCTTCTTCGTCCTAAATAATCTCACCATTTTCGTCATGCCTCCCCTTGCAGTACTCTCTTTGTTTCTCTCCTTATTATTCAGTTCGCCGTGGTTGGCTACCACCCGACTTCTCATATATATTGGCAGTCTTCTGACGAGCCAGGAGATGTTGAATTAATAATAATAATAATAATAATAATATTAACTGGTTTGAGGGAAAGAGACAAACGGGAAAAGTCTGAAGAAAAAATTGACTGTCACCACCAGGACTCGAACCAGGGACCCTCGCTTGTAGCCAGCGATGCTCTAACCACTGAGCCATGGTGTAGTCGTCATCCCAGGAGAGGCTGTTCAATATTTTCTTCAGACTTCGTAACTCACACTTCCTGTGAATCCACACAGGCGGGTGGGACGCAGCCCTCACTGTAACCCACACACTTCACGTACAAACTAGCACGCGGGGAGCCCCAAGTCATAAAATATTAACTGGTTTGAGGGAAAGAGACAAACGGGAAAAGTCTGAAGAAAAAATTGACTGTCACCACCAGGACTCGAACCAGGGACCCTCGCTTGTAATAATAATAATAATAATAATAATAATAATAATAATAATAATATGTTCGAGTCCTGGTGGGTCTGGCGTTTTTTTCTCTTTTCAGGCAGTTCACTTCCCCGACTGATCCTTTGAATTTGAAGTTTCTCCCATCCTTTCCAAATAATAATAATAATAATAATAATAAAGACAAAAAATTGCATAGTGGGAGCAAAGTGATGGTGAGGCTTTTTGCCCTCAGCCGACCTACAATATTTCATTATGCAGATACGTCTTGGGTTGGGTTATCCTCTTCCGCTGCTGCAAAGCTTGAAATACATCACAAGAAAATCCTTAAAATTCTCCTCCGTCAACCCCGCATGCTCTCATCATCCGCCCTTTATAAAATCGCTCACACAACCCCGTTATCACATGGACGCAGTGCACACCTGGCTTCTCTTGTCCATTCTATTAAGCTTGAGTTGTGCCCACCTCATCTCATGTGTTTTAATTGGTTCTCTTCTCTAAGAACTAGAAACTCGCTCTTACTCCCTAAGCGTAACTCATCCACTCTTTTGCGCTCCCCTCTCTTTATTGCTTATTCTGTTTGGCTCACTCTACCCAGAGAAGTTAAGGACCTGACCTCACTCCGCCTGTTTAAGATCCGTGCCGCCCCTTATTTACTACGACATGCATAGCTCATTATCCACATGTCCTTTGGGTCTCTGTGTTTTTCACTGTTTTTATTTGACATTATCTTTCTTTACGGAGTTGTTGTTGCTGTTCGTTTTGCTACTCTTTCTTTTTCCCTCCCCTTATTTCTATTTATCGCCGTGGTTGGCAATCACCCACTCTCGTAATATTGGCCGGTGTTTCCGCCGAGTCTTGAGATGTTGCAATAAATAATAAATAATAATAATAAAGGTCTCGACGTCATGGGGACATAAAACGCACCAAAAAAAAGAAGAAAAATGAAAGGAGTGGCACTTGTCTTTGACCACTTTGTGGTGAGTCTGATCTACTCACCTCCCACCGCTTAGTACAATGTATGTGGTACATGTACATGTCATGGTATACAGCGTGAGTTGCTAGTGTGCCGCGACTTCGCCAAAGCATCTCAACGGATTGTGGACATGTACCATGATTATGACAATCGCGCAGCGTCTCTAGTTTTCTTTTCTTTTTATATTTTTTTTACTGGGTACACTCGTCAGATCACGGTGGGTGTCTGACTGGTATCACAGGCATGGTGGTGGCCTGGCACATGCGAAACGTCCTAAGCAAAAGCTGGTTGTGTTTCTCAACACAATTGTATAGCCGGTTGTAACGCGGACGTGCAAACTTCACTTTTTTTACACCCGTCACTGGTAGGGACCGGCGGATTCTGCTCGAAAAGGTGGCAGATTCTGCTCGAAAAGCAGTGAAATCGGCAGAACCATACAAACCTTATGGCGGGCAATTCCTCGAATTCTGCTCCATTTTTTATCCACATACGAAACATGCATGAAACGTACCAGAAAAAGTACCGAATTCTGCCAATGTTTCTGCCGGCAGAATCCGCCGGACCCTACCCGTCAGAAGGGGAGAAGACAACAGAATATACAGTAGCAAAACAGCAGGCAGAGTGAGGGCTGCAAAGCAAGCCTGTGCTGGTGAGGCGAGCCCACAGCACAGCACCGACCCATGGTCCCGGCGTTAAGCTTGCACACCATAGGCATAGCCTAAAAGGAGGGGGTGATCGTTTAGTGCGATGTAAAAGACAAGAGAAGGTGATGTTCTTTTTTTGGTGCTCCACACCTCTCTTTGCTCACGTGCGCGGCTGCGCGCTTCATCCTTCTCACCTTCCGCAGTTCAGCAAACTCAGTCATACTGGTCGGTGAGTAGTTTTCCGCTCTCTTCCTCCCTTTTGTTCTGAGCCAACAGCTTGCAGTTTCTAAGCTCCCGCTTTCCGTGGTTCACTGCCTTCTCTTCGTGACGCATCATGACATTGTGTGTGTGTTGTTGAGACTGGAATGATACTCAGTCATGTTGTCTACATTGTGTATGCCGAGCCTAGTAAGTTCTGGTTGCGCTCGCTCTTGACGAACCTGGCCTGAAAACGGTGACTCCTGAAGGGTCACGCCGCCAGCCCGCACACAGCGTAGATCTACGGTAGCTAGCTCCACTGGCATGGCAGCGTCAGCGTCGTGAACTCCGTCAACAGTGAAAGCCCTGCATGCCTCCCTTCCCGGGCTCCACAACACTCTAACAGCCCATGGCCGCTAGCTTGTTTCACCAGACAGAATACGACCAGAAGTTGCGACTGACTCCCAGCTCAAGTAAGTTTGTGACCTGCGTTGGTTGGTTGGTTGGTTGGTTGGTTGGTTTATTTTAATTGGCACAATAAACGAGAACTAGGCTCGATGATAATAAACTAAATAAAGGCTAAATAAAGGCTAATGGACAAGCCGCAAAGGCCTACGTGGGAGGCATGCTTGGAAAATCTCATTGCTATGACAATTCCAAAGGAAACAGTGAGGCTGGTGGCAACCGTTCCGTTCTATTGAGATGCTTCAACTAATCTCTTCTAAGATTTCTCTAGAAACAGTGAGGCTGGCGGCAACCGTTCAGTTCTATTGAGATGCTTCAACTATAATCTCTTCTAAGATTTCTCTAGAAACAGTGAGGCTGGCGGCAACCGTTCAGTTCTATTGAGATGCTTCAACTAATCTCTTCTAAGATTTCTCTAGAAACGGTGAGGCTGGCGGCAACCGTTCAGTTCTATTGAGATGCTTCAACTAATCTCTTCTAAGATTTCTCTAGAAACAGTGAGGCTGGCGGCAACCGTTCAGTTCTATTGAGATGCTTCAACTAATCTCTAAGATTTCTCTAGAAACAGTGAGGCTGGTGGCAACCGTTCAGTTCTATTGAGATGCTTCAACTAATCTCTTCTAAGATTTCTCTAGAAACAGTGAGGCTGGTGGCAACCGTTCAGTTCTATTGAGATGCTTCAACTAATCTCTTCTAAGATTTCTCTAGAAACAGTGAGGCTGGCGGCAACCGTTCAGTTCTATTTTGAGATGCTTCAACTAATCTCTTCTAAGATTTCTCTAGAAACAGTGATGAGGACAATAAGTCTTATGCACATTGTGCTAGGGCTCAAACGATTAGTCCGATTAACCAGTTGCAGACCGGTTACGAAGAATTAACGGTTAACCGATAAAGATAACGGTTACGCAGTAACTTTTCAGTCAATTTGTCAAGTATCAGGTCGTTGCAAAGTATGCACTTTCGCAGGCTGTCGCACGCGAAGGCAATTTCCGAACTGTCAACTCGGTCATATCTGGTCTCTTGGTGTGAGAGTATGTATGAATGAGCCTGCAAGAGAATGTACATGTGTGCGTTGTGCTGAATAGGGTACATTTTTTGAATGAGTATAGTCAAATATACGGTTAAAAAAGAGTCCGCAGGATTGCCGTGGCTTATAGGTTATAACCGTTAAACCGACCGTTAGCTTAGCAGTTAACCGTTAAACCGACCGTTAGCTTAGCAGTACCTCTAACGGTTAAAACCGTTAAAGGTAAAACCGTGACCGTTTGAGCCCTACATTGTGCAGATTCACGAAATTCCGTAGAATCCCGTAGACCCGTTGGGTGTTGGGTGTACAGGACCCTATTGTGTTTACTGCTATTTCTCTTGAGAAATGGGCCAGGGATGCATTTCATACGAACTTTTTTCTGACAAAGATCTCGTTAGTCATTAGTTCTAAAAAAAAAGCGATTGTTTGCCATTTTAAATGATGAGGCTAAATTGGTCAAATGCGCATGCATAGCACACAATGAACACCCAACCGGGTATGTACACACCTACGGTCCTAGTACAGAACTTCTCACTTGAAGTACATCTGTACAACGTGCATAAGGTCGAAACGCTTGCCGATGATGACATTGTGCTTTTCAGGTATGATGACATCATGCTCTCCAGGTATGATGACATCATGCTCTCCAGGTATGATGACATCATGCTCTCCAGGTATGATGACATCATGCTCTCCAGGTATGATGACATCATGCTCTCCAGGTATGATGACATCATGCTCTCCAGGTATGATAACATCATGTTCTCCCGGTATGATAACATCGTGCTCTCCAGGTAAGGTGAGCTCTCCAGTTACATGTATAATGATGCGAATAGAAACACCACCGAAACACGGGTGGCGAGAACAATGATTGAAAACCGAATGATGTGAGAGGGAACCTAAAACTGTGAAAGTACAAAATTAATAGAAAAAAAAGGATCTTCAATAATATATATCTGGCAAAAAAAGGAAAAAAGAAAACGAGAAGATGCGATTCAACAGCCAGCATGATTGTATAGGATAGTTGGATGAGCAAATCACATCACCACCGGTGACAGGAAACAGGCGAGGTGTGTTGCGGTGTGCAGACGTGGGTGGCTCGCTGGCTCTTTCGCCTCACAAATGCACGACCTAAAACGTTATAATATCAAGACGGTCTCACCGAAAAACATGCTTGAAGTTAGTAGTTATGTGGTGGGGAGAGAGCCCAGGCGATGTGTTACACATCCTACAGGGGCGTCGGAAGGTATTTCAGTGCCATGACGGCGTACGGTCGGCCATCTGAAGTACAATTTACTCGAGGGGGGGGGGGGGGGAGGGGTTGCTGAGCCAAAATCTTGGAAATATAATTTCATTGATTCACGGGGTACCTGGGGCAAAAAGTGGTACGGTCAATACCGTAGTGACTGTACCGTGTGCGACGTCCCTGTCATAAGTGACGAAATTATGGCATAATCACAAAAAAACACACGCGTGCTGGCCAAGCTTGTTCTGCACGAGCAACCTTATTAGCTGGTTAGTTTCTGCTATCCAGGTCTTCAAGCGGAACAGCCACCATCGCCTGTGCCACACCCACGGCACACTAATCACAAGACCAGCGTTGTCGGTACAGTCCCAGCATTGCACGTTGACAATTTCTCTGCAGAATCCCGTTACGCGCAGGCTTTAGGCTATCCGACTGCGCTGCAACGGGCTCAGCTTGAGCCAGTGCCGCTGATCTGGCGGACCTTGCTGGCACGCTCAACGAGCTGCTTTGAGGCCTGCGCTACGTCAAAGCCGTGCTGTATGATCCGCTGCGTGCGGTCGGCCAGGAACTGGTCGCTCACGAGCTGCTTGGCCGTCTTGATGGTGGTACGCAGGGACGTGCAGTCGTCCTTCAGCTTGCCACAGCTGGTCACCAGCTTGGACAGGGATGTGTGCAGGGAACTGGATGTTTCATTCTGAGTCCCCAAATGGAGAAGAGCAAAGCCGGATACGCATGCCCACACATGCACATAGGATATGCAAGCCACACACACACACACAAACACAAACACGAAAACAAAACACAGAACATGCACACACATGTGCACACGCACACGCACACACATACACCGCACACATACACACGCACACACATACACCGCACACATACACACGCACCACACACACGCACCACACACACGCACCACACACACGCACCACACACACACACACACACACACACACCACACCACACACATCACATGCACGCACACACATATACCGCACACACATACACCGCGCACATACACCGCACACCACACACCGCACACCACACACATACCACACACACACACACACCACACACTCACACCCCCACGCACACCGCACACACACACACACACACACACACACACACACACACACACACACACACACACACACACACACACACACACACACACACACACACACACACACACACACACACACACACACACACACACACACACACACACACACACACACACACACACACACACACACACACACACACACACACACACACACACACACACACACACACACACACACACACACACACACACACACACACACACACACACACACACACACACACACACACACACACACACACACACACACACACACACACACACACACACCAAATGTAGTAAAACAACAATGAGTTCGGGAACACAGTTCACTTTATTTCAGTGTAACTAGAGTATGCACTGTACGTTGTTCACGCAACCCTGGTCATCTAATAATTCTACATTACACCTGAAACCTGGCAAGTCTCTGATACAGCCACTTAATTTTTTACTACACCTAACATTACATGTTATGCAGTACAGTGGCCTTATTATGACAGGTCTGTGAATACTGGCGAGAGGACTGTAATTTCACAATTGTTTTTTCGGTGTACTTATATTTACGGCACTTTCAGTGCATCTGTTTCACACCTAAAATTCCAATACACCGAACAAACACTAACACACATAATCCAATAGGGAACTGCTTCTCTGTACCGAAAATTTCTGTTCACCTAGCCTGGCCTTTTGTCCGCATACCGAAAATTTTGAAATTTAGAGTACACAACCCTCAAGAGTGTGCAACTCCAGCTATGGGGTCAGAGGTTCATATCACGTGACACACTCTCGTATACATTACGTGCACCCTGCTGTGCATGGTAGACACGACCAAGAGTACATGAAACGCGGTGTGTGTGTGTGTGTGTGTGTGTGTGTGTGTGTGTGTGTGTGTGTGTGTGTGTAGCTCTGATGGGTTGCTTTCACGGCGAAATTCCGTGATTACATCATTTTGGTGATGTAGTGCGTGCAAGCAGGATTCAAGCAGGTCACCTTAATGCACAACAGCAGCTCAGTTGTACGCACTACGCCATTCAACACAACCCTGCTCCGGGGTCAACTCTGCTGTGGTCACTTTGCACTGCATGCCAGCGTAACCTGTTGAACCATGTCACGTAACGTGAGGTTCTGTTTATTTATTGGCCTGAAACCAACCCCAATATTATAGAGGCAAACGAAACATTCTGACGAACTGCACACTTTGTTTGACGAACTCAGGAACTCTTCTTAACAAATAAAGCCCCCGCAAATGTCCACACCAGCACTCCGTCACGTTCGTAAAACAACCAAGAATCGGACAATCTGCAATCACTTTCTTTGTTGAATACCTGCTGTTGCCTGTAATGGGGGACCTGGGACCGAGGGTGGCTGGCTGAGCTCTGCGCGCTATACATGTACATGGTTATTCGCAGTACAAGCATGGGACTACATGTACCTGCGTATGCATCGACGAACGTTTGACACCTTGAAGTAGCGAATAGAATTCTCTTCAACCCACATTTGAAGCGAACCTAGTCGAATGTTATAATATTTGTTTCGCCCCTAGTTCTAATGTCGTTGCACTGCATTAAGGTTGTGCAGGCAGTTGCACACTTTTGGGGGGAGAGGGGTTGCGTACTCTTGACACTGCTGGTTCAAGGATCCACCAGCTATAGGCAAAGTGAAAAGACCTCCTCCGGACTTACCCTAGGAAAGATGAGCGTCATTTCGGACACAGCGTTGCCAATGAACAGAGCACAGGGCACGAATCTGTAACACAACGCCATATACACACACACACATACGCGCGTGTGCGCGCACACACACGTGCGCGCACAAGCACACACACACACAATCGTACACATACACACATACACAAGAATTTCCAAATCCATTATCCGACCGGAACCGCCAACAACAATGGGGCATTACAAAGTGCACGTACACTTCAGTCCTTCAAACTGTATCACCATTTAGGAGCACCGGAATTTAATTTAGGGTGGCACGATCAGCCACCTAGAGTACAATAAACCCTCGAGGTTGGGGTGTCACTACTGAAGAAAATCGAAATTTAGAGCCCAAATAAGTGCCTTTTTTAATTCACAGGCTACCAGGGACAAGGAGTGGTGCGGTCAAACCCGTATACGACCGTAGCGTGTCCGACGCCCCTGCCATTCTCCAAAGGTTACGAAATTTGGGCGTACATGTGTCTGTTTTCCTTTCAAACTCTGCATGCAGACTGACAAGCTAACAGGCTGACAGACAGGCAAATACACAAACTGCTGGACACATGGACTGGCTCAAGGCCCCGGCTGGGGGGCTACATGAACGTACAGCAGTACACCAATACAGAGTTACCGTTGACTTGTGAATGTGCTCAGCCAACTAAGAAGCCTAGCCCGCGACACACAGGTGCAACAAACGGCGGCGGGAAGCTTTGTTTTGCTGCTAATCTGCGTCTCATGGCAACAGAGCCAACTTTCCGACACTGTGTTCTCCGATGATTGATCCTCTCGCACTGAAACCCTGACTCAAAACTGGACACAGTTTCCCACTACAGCGGTCCCTATACAACCTGGAATTATTTGTGCTAAGGAAATTCTGCTGGATTAGGGAGGGTGCTGGATTAGGGAGGGTGCTGGATTAGGGAGGGTGCTGGATTAGGGAGGGTGCTGGATTGGGGAGGGTGCTGGATTAGGGAGGGTGCTGGATTAGGGAGGGTGCTGGATTAGGGAGGGTGCTGGATTAGGGAGGGTGCTGGATTGGGGAGGGTGCTGGATTAGGGAGGGTGCTGGATTAGGGAGGGTGCTGGATTAACAAATCGGATTTACTGCTGCAATGTGCATGAAGGGGACTTTTTGGTTACTGAATATTATGCTGGTTCATAGAGGGTGCTGGCTTAAAAAAAGTGCTAAATTAAAGAGGGACGACCGTATTGGAAACCGGTATACACACGCTGCTGTCTGACGATTGGCCAATTTGCCATGAAGCTCGGTGTATCAATAGAACAAAGTTTCCCACCGCTGTGAAGTTGTGCATGTTTATCTACAATAGTACAGCACGTGGGCAATATTCGATCGGACACAACTTGGCACAAGTCTGTCCGCTATGCTGTGAAGAACGTTGTGACGAATACAGTACAGTGCATATACAGACAGGTCTACACTGTACAAAAGTGGTTTACATGCGAATGGCCGTACTTGCCCAGCGTTGGAAAAAAACCCCGCTTGAACGATATTTTTTCATGTACAATTGGCAGAAACTGACAGGGAGCAAGATGAGGAGGGGATTTCAACAGCACCACAGTATAGCCTGTTTTCACATCTATCACATTACCATACAGGGCGGCCATGTTGGTTCCAACTCCACTCAACCCCTGCATCTATGGGTCACATGATCTCGGCCATGTTGGTTCCAACTCCACTCAACCCGTGCATCTATGGGTCACATGATCTCGTCCATGTTGGTTCCAACTCCACTCAACCCGTGCATCTATGGGTCACATGATCTCAGCCATGTTGGTTCCAACTCCACTCAACCCGTGCATCTATGGGTCACATGATCTCGGCCATGTTGGTTCCAACTCCACTCAACCCGTGCATCTATGGGTCACATGATCTCGGCCATGTTGGTTCCAACTCCACTCAACCCCTGCATCTATGAGTCACATGATCTCGGCCATGTTGGTTCCAACTCTACTCAACCCGTGCATCTATGGGTCACATGATCTCAGCCATGTTGGTTCCAACTCCACTCAACCCCTGCATCTATGGGTCACATGATCTCGGCCATGTTGGTTCCAACTACACCTCCACTCAATCCCTGCATCCATGGGTCACATGATCTCGGCCATGTTGGTTCCACTCAATCCACTGTCCACGTCACATGACCACTTTCTGCACAAATTTGGTCACATGACCAAGACGTGAAACCAGTGTATTGGACAATGAGTACCAGACTGCTTCAGGACTTACTTCTCAAATTCCTGCTTCTGTGCGCACGTGAGGAGGCTCTGGATTCCGCGGGCAATGTTGGACGCGCACTGAGCTACCGCCGTATCGTCCGGTAACGAGGCACCGGCGCTGTTGCCATGGTGATGCTGGCTGCCGGGCACCGTTGTGGCGCCGCTACCGCCGCTGTTGACGCTGCTGGTGCTGCTGCTGGTGCCGTTGTTAGTGCTGCTGCTGTTAGATGTGATTGTCACGTCCCAGCCACCGGATTTCTCCTTGCCGGCTGACGGCGACGGCTGCTGCTTACTGAGGGCACTTGGGCCCGGCTGTGCAAGAAAATAGGATTGGAGCATAATCATGACAAACGATGGCACTTTACCAGAGTGTAATGCAACCGGCTATTTTCCAGCACTGGCAGAATCCCCCCCCCCCACCCCACCCCATCCTCCACACTACCCCCACCCATCACCCTCAAGGATCAAGGCGCAGATGCAGCTCAGTAACCAGTGTAAAATAGAAGGAAAACACATAAGTAGGTCCGAGTTATCGCACTTTCTGGCTGCTTATCATCTTGTTACAGTCGTGGATAGTTGCTGCACAACTCGCTCCCATGTGTTTTCCTTCTGTTTTACCATAAAAACACAAGTAGCAGCCTTACCCGTCCGTGTCTCGGCTGCACACGTGCACCGTTCTCGTACGGCGTTGTCGGCGACGCTCTCCGCGGCAACGACGCCGCATCCACAGCATCCAGCAGCGAGGGACTCGACGCCGACGAGACGACTGCACCACCGCCGCCGCTGCTATTTGGTGGCGGTGCCCCCGCTTTCGTCGTGGAGAAGATCAGTTTGGGAGCGGCCGCCCGGCGAGCGCGATACTGCTCGTCTTCCTCGCTCTCTGACGCGTTGAGAAGATCGGGCTCGCTCTGCGACTGGTGACGCGGGTACGGCGAGGCCGAGGTGCCGAGCGGCGACGCTGCTGCCATGGAAACCGTCTTATCCGACGACGGAATCGCCATGGGAACGGTCTCGCTGACGCAGCTGGCGCGCTCCGGGCACGGCGACAGGACGTCGACGGAGCGGTTCAGCTGCAGCTGCTGCATAGCGAGCATGCCGACTACCGGTGTGTTGTGTTGAACACCTACAACAACATACAGCACACCACCCAGGTACACATATATTCACACACTGCACAGGGCGAGTCATAATATTTCCACTCATGATCTGTGCAGAAGGGTGCTGCACAGGGCGAGTCATAATGTTTCCACTCATGATCTGTGCAGAAGCCTGTGGTCAGAAGACCAGTTTATGACTTGGCATCGAGCTACCTTAAAAATGTTTTGTTGTTCATTAGACTCCATAGCGGTTGGTTTGGCCAGTACCTCTGAGCTCGGCTGAGGAGACCTGACAAGGTTGAAATAGCTAGCTGTCCAGAGATTGGATGCTTGTGAGATTTTAGATATTGCTGCAGTCGTCGCAAGGAATAGGACGGTGGGTCCCGTGATCGGGAACATTGCAAAAGAGAGCTGTTAGCTCAGGCTCTTGCTGTGGGTTCTTTATCTAGTTCATCATACATTTTATTTAAATTTCTTGGAAACGTCTTAATCGAGACACAGAGAGTTCTATATTGCAAAGTTGTGTACATACACACTGCGTTACACGCATGCCTTACGCAAACATACACACTGGACACGAGCTGGTGCTGTCGGTCTACCGACGCTTCTAGGCCATCTTTGATCAGTCGTGTGAGGCCAGTGACACACACGCACACACTCATGCACGCACGCACACACGCACGCACGCACACACACATCTTGGCATACCATTGTTGTGCTGCAAATGAGATGCGCTGGCAGAACGGCCTCGCATCATAAGGTCGTCCTCTTGCGACGCGTTACGCGATGCAGTGGCTACGCTGTGCTTCTTTTTGGGTGGTAGCTGACAATGGGCAGCAACACAAACACAGAGAAATCACACAAATATTCATAAGTTGAGGGAATGGAAAAAGGAAAAGACTGAAGAAACAAATGACCGTCGCCATCAGGAATCGAACCAGGACCTTTGCTTGAGGCCAGCTATGTTCTGACCAATCACACACATATCCAGGAATACTATCATTGGTTCAGTCGACTTTGCAAGTAGCCAGCCATCAATGCACTGGGCCAAGCCGGATGACATCATTCCCGAATCCCTGAAGAAAGGACGTTCATACATACACTGAGCCATATTTAGGGACGTGTGACCATACACACACTGAGCCATATTTAGGGACGTGTGACCATACACACACTGAGCCATATTTAGCGACATGTGACCATACATACACTGAGCCATATTTATTTAGGGACCTGTGACCATACATACACTGAGCCATATTTAGGAACATGTGACCATATATCGACTCGCAGTCTGGCACTGAGCCATATTTAGGGACATGTGACCAGCTGTCCACGGCACTACTTTACACAGGACGGAGTCCATTGATCACATTCCTTTGGTGTAGTCCTTCAACGTTACGTTCTGTACGCGCTGAGGGCGCAGGCCCCGGTCATTCGACTGGATCTCCATGTCCGCTACAGTACCGTATTTTCCGGAGTATAGTGCGCACTTTAGACGTGCTATTTTAGGCCCTAAATCGCAGGTGCGCACTATGCTCCGAATATGAAATGCATGTACTTCAATGAAGATTGAAGTGCGCACCCTCAATGAAGATTGGGGGTGCGCGTTATACAAAGGTGCGCACTATACTCCGAAAAATACGGTAGTTGTTAAGTCAATCTATTTTTCGTTCAGGGGTGGGTAGGTGGGTGGGGGAGGGTCCGAACTTAACTTTTCCGTTGCTTCACAAGCAGAAGTTCAACAGGGGCGGAACATAGAT